TGAGAACAACCCACCCATCTTTACCATCGTCAAGCTACCGAACCCTGCGACTGGCACCACGCCCCAGACCATCAAAGACAAGAACACGGCCCCGGTTAAAATGCTGGCGAGCCGACACACCAGCTTCCAGAAATGGCTAAGAGAAGCAAAGGGATCGGCCAATATTGATATGTCGACCAAGGTGCGTGTTTGGAGAGTTCTGGGCGGCCTGGGAAGCGCCAATGCGTCCACCACGATTACTCCAGCGGGATCCCGCAGTGCCTCGCCGGCCCCAGCATCAGCAGTCGCCAATGCAGGCAACAACCTGGTGCTCGACCTCAACACCTTCCTCTCTCTTTCGGAGGGCGCTCAACGCGAAGTGCTCGAAGATGCGAAGGACCAGACCGCGAATCCCAATTACAACGGCCGTATGACCCTGGACTTGGCCGGGCTAGGTGCCAGTGATGTCATCGTGCTGGAGGAGAATGTCGGTGGTAAAAATGGCGAGTGGGTGTCGGAAGCATCCAAACAGACCCTCAATCGTCTGGGCGTTTCTGCAGGCAATGTGAAGAATGGCGTCGCGAACAAGCTTAAGGACAACAAGAAGAGTTCCGCGACCAGTGGCCGCTCCTCGCCAGTGCCAGAGCCTAACCGAGGGCGACGACGCAAGGATGGCAAGTTCCGTGGCTGCACCGGATTGAGCAACCTTGGAAACACTTGCTACATGAACTCCGCTCTCCAGTGCGTGCGGAGTGTCGAGGAACTATCGTATTATTTCTTGAGTTCGTACTTCCCTGCGGTCATAATTGCCGTATGATTAGCGAATCGTCCATTTTGTGCTGACATACTCTTCTTCCCTTCGCAGGCGATGTCTACAAACAACATCTAAACCCCAGCAACCCACTTGCGCACAACGGTGAAGTCGCAAAGTCGTACGCTAACCTGCTGCGTCTGATGTACGATGAGGCGGGCCAATCCTCCTTCGCTCCCCGACAACTCAAGAACACCATCGGCCGCTACGGACCAGCCTTTTCGGGCTATGGACAGCAGGATTCCCAGGAGTTCTTGCTGTTCCTCCTCGATGGATTGCAAGAAGATCTGAACAAAATCCTCAAGAAACCGTACATCGAGAAGCCCGACTCGGCTGATGAAATGACGCATAACAGGGCAGCACTTGAGGAATTCGCAACCAAGTGCTGGGACATCTACAAGGCCCGCAATGACTCTGTGGTTACCGATTTGTTCGCTGGCATGTACAAGTCGACTCTGATTTGCCCTGCCTGTGAAAAGGTTAGCATCATCTTCGACCCGTTCAACAACCTGACACTTCAGTTGCCCATTGAAAACCTGTGGAGCAAATCGATTTTCTATTTCGGTCTGAACAAGAAACCGGTCTCCCTTGACATTGAGATCGACAAGAATTCGAGTATCAAATCGTTGAAGGAACTCGTCGCAAAGAAGATGGATTCCCAACCTGACCGTCTCGTTATGTCCGAGATCTATAAAAACAAGTACTACAAGATGTTCGACAACACGGGCTCCCTTGCCGATCAGCAAATCTCTGCGAACGACGACATTTCCATCTTTGAGGTAGAATCAGTGCCCACGAACTATAACCCGGACAAGCCTCCGAGGGCCTATTTCTCCTTCAATCGCCAAGACGAGAAGATTCCCAGCTTCGATTCGCCCAAGGCAGACCGAATGCTGATCCCTATCTTCAACCGGGTTATTGGGAAATCAAGGAACAACAATCCCCGCAACGCCCAACGGCACCTATTTGGGGTACCGAACTATATTATCGTCAACCGGGAAGAGGCCTTCGACTATGACGCCATTCTGCAGAAGGTTCTGGCTGTGGTGGACACCATGACAACCCGTGATATTTTCAACGAGCCAGAGCTTCTGGAAGATGACACTGAAGAAGAGGCAAACGCTGAGGATTCGGACACGGTTGTCATGAACGATGACGACGCGCAGTCTGCCGACTCCAAGGTCAAGACTTCCTCCGTGGACGGTGAGGATGGCATGGTGGATGTGTCGATGCGTGACGCGTCTGAGGATACAGATGCGCCCACTCCTCCGCAAGACGCTAAGTCTACCAACCCTGACTCTAAGAAGGCCAGCATTGTCTCGGGCTTGCAGAAGCTCTTCGATCTGAAGATGTTTATCAAGTCCAATGAAGCCGTCCCCATGGGCTTTTCGTCCCTGGATGACCACAAGGAGTATCCCTCGATGGCAGGGCGCGTGAAGGCAGCCGAGAAGGCTAGAAAGGTAAATATTCTTGTGATCTTCTGTTGATTGGGTTGTGCTAACTATTAACAGCAGGCTGAAGAGGCATCTCAAGCCAACAATGCGGACGAGCAGGAGTCTGACCGCGAAAGAAACTCATCTGACAGTGACAGTTCCGACATGTTCTCGAACGAAAAGCGCCCCAACGCCGCGAAGCCGCAGCCGGAGGTTCGTCCGCTTGTTCGCCCGGGTGAGGGTATTATCCTGGATTGGAATGAGAAATCTCACGACGCCCTTTTTGGTGGAAACGCCAAAGACAAGAACTCTGGTCGCGGTATGGGCACTTGGTTCGACGTCGAACACGTCCAGGACCCAGAGCTGGACAAGCGGCGCGCCCTACGTCAAACGCGCAAGAAGAAGGGCGTCTCTCTCGACGAGTGTCTCGACGAGTTCAACAAGGAGGAGGTTCTCTCCGAGAATGATGCATGGTACTGCCCCAGGTGCAAGGAGCATCGCCGTGCTAGCAAGAGATTCGAACTTTGGAAGACACCCGATATTCTCGTCATGCACCTGAAGCGATTTAGTGCCAGCCGTGGTTTCCGGGACAAACTCGATGTCTATGTGGACTTCCCTGTGGAAGGTTTGGACATGAGCGGTAGAGTGGAAAACCCTGAACCAGGGGAGAGTCTGATCTATGACCTCTTTGCCGTCGACAATCACTACGGTGGACTTGGTGGAGGCCACTATACCGCCTACGCTAAGAACTTCATAAGTGGGGAATGGAACGAATACAATGGTGAGTCTTTTTCTTGTAAACCTTTTTGGCAACGACAACTGACGTGGTCTAGATTCCTCCGTATCGAGACCCCTGGACCCACAAAGTGTGGTGACTTCTTCTGCTTATCTGTTGTTCTACCGACGTCGGTCAGTCCATCCGCTAGGCGGTAAGGCACTCCGAGAGATCACCAAGTCCTTCAAGAGGAATATGGACGATCCTGAATCTTCAGCCAACTCGCGGGCTCCATCTCCGTCGGGGGAAGGCCGGCGTCTCGGCGGCTCCTCCCGCAATGGGTCGTCGAGCGCTTTAGCCGGAGTCGGAGCAGCTCACCAGGCGGGAGTTGGTGGGGTGCGAGCCGGAACACAAGCGAAGAACGGGGACAATGAATCGTCACCGGAATATTCCCAGAATCGACAGGAAGGTATGCTTCTCGATGATGAAGATGATGAGGATGACGGGGGAGTCCCAACCCAACGCCCGTGGTGCTCCGAAAATGAGCCCTCGTGGTCTTTCGGCACAATTACGGAAGCTCACGGCCCTTCACAGAGAACAGGAATGCTTCCACTCTCTGAGAGTAGTGACGATGAGGTCTTTGACGATGATGCCGCTAGCGACCGGGCGGTTGGGGGAGATAACATGAGTGACTCGGATATGCAGTTGGCCTCGTTGACGGACGACCACGAGGGACAGCATGGCGTGCCATTGCCCGGGACACCTAAGGATGAGGCACCATCGATCCAGGACATCCCTCCGCCGTTGGACGCCGATGACGATGACGAACTTCCGGTGGTGGAACTACGAGTGAATGACGAGGATCGGATGAATTCGGATTAACAGAATCAGCATTGAAACTTGTGTTCTTTTTGGACATGCGCTCGAGGTGGTTAGTCAGTGTGGTTACTACTGGCACATGTTTATACGATTTCATTTATGAAGTCGACGCTTGATATTCCTTGGACAGAGTTTGTTCATCCTAACGGAGATGGAACAGACTAAGTAGAAGCCGGTTGCTTGCGTTCGTTGGTTTGGATGGTGGCATGGTTTTGCTTTTCGAAAAGTTGTGATTATGCATGGGCGATGTCGCATGGCATTGCTGTTTATAATTTAGAGTAGCTTATCCTTATGGTGCGAGGGGAATGGACTTGCACTGTTCTTGCGTTTGATCGTTCCTTCCTTGTTCATCTAGTATACTTGTCAGTGGTAGACAGGTGCTTTCCCCATCCAGGCAATTACGGTGGCTACCTAGACCTCGACTACAAGACAGTCCTCATCCTTCCCACACCACCATCTCTCTACCAACCACCATCAATCACCATCACTTGCTTCAAGTCATTCATTCATTGAACGCACCTCGAATTCTTACCCGATTCATCCATCTCATTTCAGCTCACGCAACGCAACACAACACAACACAATAACGCCAGGCAAAATGGCATACTCCAGCTTCTTCCACACCAGACCACTCCCACTGCTCCCTCGAACCCCATCTCCTCTGAAGAGGTACTACTCCGGAGCAAAGATCTCCAAGGCCACTTTCGACTTCGATTCCACTCGCGGTTCCACTCCCAGCCCTACCTCTTCTACGGGCCCGATCCCAATCCCCGTTCCGACTCGAATTAGTCCCAGTGTGGAGATACCCGAGATACATTTCTCTCCGCCGCTTTCTCCGTCACCTTTGCCTTCTCCGTCGGGGTCTGAGGGGTCCTTTTCGGTGCCGTCTGAGACTGGTGATGATCACGACCACTGCTGCCATGAGCAGTACCACTATCACGACTACGAATACGATCACAATCACAATCACGAATACGGTGCCTACGTCTCGATCAAGGAGAGCGAGAACACCAACCACGTCCACGCTCCCACTCATACCTTCCATCCCACTACCCTCCTCGTCCCGGGAACGGGAAAGGACGGCCGCCGCAGCTCAGTGCTCAGCGATAGCGAGATCAGCGTGCTGGATTTGGGGCCTAGTCTGAGTCCGACTGACGTTGGTTCTCCGACTGAAGTTGGTAGTCCGATTAGCCCGATTGGTGACGCTGAGGGGGTTCCGGCACCTTCTGTGACCGTGGGGATGGCGATGAGTCCGGTGGGGCCGGCACCTGGCATTGATGGCGGGGAGAACGGTCCGCTTGGCTTTGGATTCGGAATGGGGCTTGGGGCGAAGGAGAAGAGTTATCGGGGATTGTCGACGTCTATGGCTACTGGTTTGGATGGTGGTCTCGATGCGGATACTTGGGATTACGAATACGGGTGTGGACGTCAGTACGACTATGATTACGGGGAGGGAGGTATTTTTGGATATGACTATGGTGGTGACGGTTCTGACAACCCCCATCCTCTATTGGTTATTCCACGGCTAGAACGGGATGGTGATAGCAGTGGCAGGGCTAGTCACGAGCACAGACATGCAGGCAAACCCGAAATCACCGTGGAGTCGCCGGTATTGAGGCCCCTGAGAACCACGCGGAAGGACAAGGCGAGACGGGCGGTATCTTCTTGGTCGAGGAGGGCCTTGGGGTTGTGATTCTTTCGTTTATTGCTATTGGTGTTGGTCGATTACTCTTGCTTATCTCTGTTTTTGGGTTTGGTACATGGGTACTCGGTACTGAGGATAGGATAGGTATCGAATGAATTATTATTATTTAATAGACCGGACTCTAGCTCTAATAATCCACAACACAATAACACTTTTGTGTATGTACAATGCGGTTTAGTTAGGTATTAAACATTGATCTTGCCATTTCCACATCAAGAGCTCTATGGTCTGGTGTCCGTGATGAAGCTAAACATGTACCGGTATAGGTAGAAGACGACGAATATCGTCAAAGTCGAATCGAAGTCGAGACGTAGGAGTGTCGATAGAGTGAAAAACGAAAAGAAAAAGCCGTAGATCCCAAATCAAGGAAGGTAGGAATGTCGAAAAAATTAAAACGCCAAAGAAACCCCCAACCAAATATATAAAATCGAATGGGCTCAAGAAACGAAAACGAAAACCTCAAGAAACGAGAAACCGACGTCAATCAAAGAAGGACAATAAAACTAGTACTGCGCAACAGGCCACCCATCCTCATACTCAAGCCTGTTCCAGCCAAACTTGGCCGTGTTGAAGTCATAGCTCACAGACGAGTTCAGGTAGTGGTAGTAGAGGATGTCGCCGCCGATATCCGCGAGGACGGCCTGACCGCCGGGGGCGTAGACGTCGCGGTTGGAGCCGTAGATGAGTTCGCCGCCTCCGTCGACGAGATCTTTGCCGGATTTGTCGGTGTAGGGGCCTTGGGGGTTGGAGGAGCGGCCGACGCGGATGCTGTATCTGTTTTTTTTGTTAGTATAACGTACATTGGAATGTTGGTGGGGGGGGGAGCTTACTCGTCACCAGGCTTGGGGAGATCCTTGGGGTCCAGATCGCAGCACGTTCCGTGGCTGTACCAGAGGTAGAAGTAGGGGAAGTGGTAGGAGATGAACGCGCCTTCGATCGGGTGCGAGCCGCTGTCATCCCGGCAGTTGGGGTCTGGGTTGTCCCCGCCAGGTAACATAGCCTTGGGCTCAGCGGCGAGATGTCTCGAATTGGACTTCACATTGTCACCCAGGGAAATCAGATCGTCGTTCAACGGCACCTGCCAGATACCAGACCAGTAGCTGCCGAAGTTTAGGTACGGCTTTCCGCTTGCGATGACGACCGAGGGGTCGATCGCGTTGGATGTGCTGAAGGGGTATTTTCCTGAACCCTTTCCGGTTCCGGTTTGGATGATGGGACCGTGGTCGGTCCAGTTTCCGGGACCGGGGTGGTCAGAGACAGCGACGCCGATAGCGCTGTCGCGGCAGCCGGCTTGCGAGACGCCGTAGTAGATGTAGAACTTGCCGTTTAGGGCGATGGTGTTGGGGGCCCAGGGGGCGGTGCGGTCACCCTTGGGAATGACGCTGTCGGCGTCAAGGGCGTTGCCGAGACGTGTCCATGGGCCGTCGAGGTTGGGGGCGGAATGGATGGGGATGTGTGTGTCGACGCCGTAGGAGTAGTATGTGTCGCCGTCACGGACGATGCTGGGATCGTGGATGTTCAGGTCGGTTCCATGGGTCTGGGGGAAGGGTTCCTTGGGGGATGACCGTGGTTGTTGGATGGTTGCCGCGTTGGCGAGGGACAGGATTGACAACGAGGCCAGCAGCTTTAGCTTTGATGCGATCATTTTTTCCTTTTTTTTTTTTTTTTTTTTTAACACCTTAAGGAATGTATACACGCAAGACAACGAACGACGCGGGGGTGGGATCAGCGAGCAGCAAACGAAGGAATGGAAAAATATGAACGAATGAATGAACGATTTTAACCTCAGGAATCCTTCACGTCAAACGTAAAAAAGAAGAGAAAAAGGCCTGCCATGAGGGAAAACAACATGCTAAGTAGTGATTTGGTCCGGAGGGCGATCATGTTGACCAAATCCGGTATCGAGTCAGGGAGAGCAAAGAGAGGACTTTTGGTTCATCGCATTCGTGACACATCCAGAGCGAATACTAACTGGCAATCATTTCCTTCCAAAAGGGACCCAGATGGCCACTGAGTACAGCCCACATCACCCCCATAATGGGGGCGGGAGAGGAGCAGGATCCGGGATGTGCAGTGCCGATTACCTGGCAAGGCATCGTATTGGAATGCGCTGGAACCGCCATTCCTCTCTGGATGCAGAAACGGGCTGGTCCATAATAATGGGGACGAATACGAAACCGTTCCAGGCGGTCGAAAAAAGGTTACTTGACTTAAATTGGGACCCATAACGGCGATCGGGCTAGGGGAAGAAAGGCGGACAGGGTTAAAGACAAGCTCCTGAGTGCGAGTTAGCCTGAGTTAGCCAAACTCCGAACTCACTATGGAGCACAGAGTACGTACTCCGCCGTACTTCCTGCTGTGTATGAGCACATTTACAGAGCATGGCCCGTATTCCGGAGACAAGAGAAGGATCGCCCGAGATGGCCGAGTGAGAAACCAGTGACGATTCATCCCAAAAAGGGATCCTTGCACAAGCTCTATTGCCTTTTATTTTGCCTTTCTGAGTGCGTCATTGATCGATGCCATGGTTGTTTGGAGGGAGTGCCTGTCGATCTGGTGCGAGCGGCCCTGTACAGAGTAAGGAGTCGGTCTCTCCTGCAATAATTCGGCCGGGTTCCTTTGTTCCATAAGAGATGATCATGTTATAACAGGATGCACTATAGCGCCTATCATAGCAAGGCGCATCCCACTTGCAGCGCCGAGTGTATTCTGACTGATCTCTTTTCTTGGTTTCGACGTGGATCCTCCGGAGAAAGGAGAGCCGATGCTCCGTATGCATGTGTTGGTGTGTGTGTTGTGTGTGTTGTGTGTTGTTTGTTGTGTAGAATAACCCGCGTGTAAAGTTTCTCCAAAATAATGACAAAAAAGGAACTGAATTTCAGACAGGTCCAAAATATTACAGGCGGAAAATAACGCCCTCAAAATAACAAATAGCGAGTAGCCATCAATCATAATCCGGTCCAAAAAAAGAAAGAATCCACTTCCTCAACGCCTGGGATTTGGCTGCGGTTCTCGCCCATGCAGCACTATCACAAAAAAAAGCAATGCCTAGTGTTTCCTTGATTCTTCTCTCTCTCTCTCTCTCTATCGCGCGACGATCTTGTCCACCTCGTCCTTGGCTTCGGTCCATGTCTCCAGATTCTTCCGCGACCAGTCGAGATGACACCGCGCGTAGGCCACCTAAAACCAAGTTTAACTTCTGTCTCGCCAGATAGAGCAGTAGTGCTCTAGTAGTTTGAGCTTGCCCAGAAAAAAAAAAAAAAAAAGGAGACTCACCATGTATCGTCGCAAATCCGCTTCTTTGTCCCTCTGGAACCGCTTAAGATCCTGTAATACCCCTGTGCTCGCATCCTTCACATCCTTCTCCGAAACCTCCAGTGCTTGCTCCAACTGTAGATCGTAGGTCAGGTAAACTTCCATATTCGTCCCCAGGCAACTGTATTTACACCGGAGAGTAAGGGATGAATTGACGTACCTGCGATAAGCTCTCCTTAGTCTTTCCTATCTGGTCCCGGCGTGTTCGCTCCGGATCAACGTCTACAAATCCGTGAACCGCGTGACTGATCCGTCCGAAGATTTTATTTGCCACAAATGTTCCGCTGGACGTTTTGCGGTGCGCCGGTGTCGTAGATGGCAGAGCCATATATTCTTGTCGTCTCGCTGTTGTCCCTTGCGACGCCCCCGGTGTGGCCCCGATCGACTCCCCATGGGTAGGTGGGAAATCAGAATCAATTGATGCCGTGTCTTCTCCACCGGCTCCTCCACCAGCGCCATTGTCTCCTGCGGCACTGCTGCTGCTGCTGGGCCGTCCGTCGCCACTGTCAATTACATCAGCGGGAGTAGAGCTTGGAGCCGACGAGGGAGCCGATGTGCTGCTGCCTACGGCTGAGGATTGCGAACGGTGAAGGAATTGATCAATTCGTTGTGCCTCTTGTTCACTTCGCTCCAGAGACTGTAACAGTGTCCTCTTCTTTGCCAACTCGTCAAGGGTCATCTCCTGTTGCACTCGTTTGAGGACCCTGTAACGCAAGACACCACGGACCACACTGGCAAACTGGGAGGTCTCCCGCATGGGCTCAGCGAAATTTGCGCTCAGTGACGTCGAAAGTTCTTCTGTTTCGATATAGGATGTATCCGCAGCCTGGCCTACGCGTTCGATCGCTGCTGCCACGGTCGGGGATTGTTCAGACAGGGAGAAGCCATTGTAGCGGGCTCCCAACTCCATCAAATCCGCAGACAACGATGATAGATGTGCCAGTGTCCGTCGGTTCACCTTTTCGATATTTCCCTGCAGGAGCAATTCCAGCTCGCGCGTAGATGCCTCGAAATTGATAAAGTATGGGTCCAATTCCTTCTCGCTTAACTTGCGTGACTCCGGTGGGAAACGTCCCAGGATATCGGGACCGGGTGCGCCCGTAGGTTGCGATGCATTATCAGTGGGAGATGTACTGGACGGACCGGAGCCGCCAGCAGACTTCAATTTCGAAGAGGCTGAAGGAACCGGTAGCCAGAAATGGGCGGGTGTAGGATTCGCGGGATCGAGGGGAGGGGCTTGTAAGTAATTCTTCGGCACGGACGACGCGGGCGGCGAGTTAAGGACTTCACTCTGCAGTAGTAAGAAGCATCAGTATTCCACGGTCGCAAGGCCATGAATCGATATCGGTCTCAACACATACCCAGCTGACGTTGGGGTCCAGGAACCTCCACCACACACCATCCTCCCGGATCTCCTTCATTCGACGACAACGGTTCAGGAAAACACCCAGCATGCGCTTCCTGAGGTCGATGATAGCCGTGTCCTCCTTGGCCTTGGTCGGTTTAGCAGCGTAGTCCGCCATGGTATGTTTCTCCGGGATAGGCGGGACAATGAGAGTCGGGTGCAGGTTGACAAGCATCTGTCGTAGAGAAGAGAATTCCGAGTACCGTCGACGAACTTCCAGGTCCTATGCATAGATATCATTAGATATGCCCTTGGTATCCCATGAAAGCAAGTCGGTCATACCCCAGTCCGTATCGTGTACACAATGAAACTCCCACCACCCTCATGGTTCTTCCCCGCATCCGTGATGAGAATAGGCATCTCAGGGTTCTCATGGAGAATCTGCTCTATGCGACTGTCGTACACACTCCGTCGGAGAAACCCAGGGCCAGCCTGCTGAGCACCGTATGCCCCCTCATCCTCTTCATCACTAAGCTCATTCTCGCGGGACAGGAAATCGGGCGGATCCTGGCTAGACGCGTGACTGGAGGGGGACGGAGGAGTAGACTCGTGTTCATCGTAAAGAGCTAGAGTGAGAGATCAGTAATCGCAGACAGCCAGTTCAAGGCGTTGTGCTTACGGCCAGACAGAGCCGCGGAATGGAGCGAATCTGACAGATGGGCCTCGTTGTCGAAAGCGCCGTAGGGGTTGTTATCCTCGTCGTTCCACATGATGGTGCCCTTCAATAAATCAAACAACAACAGCAACAGCAATCAATCGAGATGGTTCGTCGGTTCCTGTCTGGAGAATTCGCGGGGAAACGTCACCGGTCCGGCACGCTGCAAAGACCCCTTGTGCAGGATTAGTCAGTTATGCAAGTTATGCAGCATATCTACAGCCAGTTCTTGCTGTATGTCCCGTTTTTCATTATTGAGTTCGTCACTAGTCCTTAAGATCAATATGCAGATAGTGGATTTTTTTTTAAGCTAATCCCAGCTTCTGAATGTTGTAGCAAACTAGATGGCGCCTCGCCAATAAACAACCCATCTAAGATCCAAGATATATCTCCGCATACACCTGCTAATAAACCCCGAAAAGAAAACAAAACAACCCTAACTACCAGCTATCTTTTGTCGGCGAATTCTGTCCTGCACCCCATTCTCCCTGACTCGGCTCCGACTGCGTCGCTCGCTGTCCCCATTCAGACGACGTTTCGGCGTTGCTTGTGTTCGACCATTCCCCCTGCGCCGGTGCACTAGGGCTGCTTTGTTCGGTAGTGGCGGGAGTGTCGGCTGGTTGTGACCACTCGCTCGTATCGCGTTGCTTTCCCTTGTCCTTTGGCGTGTTTGTAGCCGTGGTAGTAGGAGAGGCATGCGTCGGGGAAGGAGGGGGAGCAGGTGCGACAGGAGGAGGAGCAGTCGTCGTCTCTCGCTGTCTGCTCACATAGTCCCTCTTCTGACTCGCGACCAAGGGCTCTGCGTCCGGCTCGCGTGTAATTCTCCTCTCCCTTTTCTTCCTCGCGGGTCTCTCAATCCATTCAACCGGTCTGCCGGAGCTGGACGTCGACGTCGACGGTACTTGCACCGGAGCTAATTCCCTAACTGGCATGCGCTGTTTTCTAATATGGTAGGTCACGAGTAGTTCACGTTTGAATCTTCTTTTCCAGTAGCGAAATGCCAGCCAGGAGGCTACGATCGCTCCCAGGGTGACGAGGATTATGACACAGATGGCGATGTTCTTCTGCATGGTGCTTTTGGGATTTTGAGGGTTAGAGCTTGGGTGTGGATGGGATGGATTTGGGGAGTCGCTCACCTTTCGTCGCTTGGTCTGTAGAATAGTTCCTAGTCTGGGTGCTTCTGGCGCAGACGGGGGAGGTTGTTCTGGCCATGTTAGAATGGTACGAGGGCCATTGATGGATTTTGAAAAACATACGACCAATCTCGATTATCTGAATAAAGACGAAACCGAGAACAATCAAGACTGGAGTACTGCGTGGCGAGGCTGTCGTTAAGTGGATTTGTTGTTTTGACATGTTTGGATGCCCTAAACAGTCACTTCTAGTTGTTGAGGAAACCCGCTCAGTGAATAGCAACTCAGTGAATACAACCAAAACAAAAATTGAATCCAGAACACTTTTGTCTATAACCTAAGCCTATTTACACATCACATCATGAAATCTCCAACGCACGCTCAATTCCCACAACCCAGTCAAGATGAAGACACGCAACCTTCCCGTTACCGAGTAGCGACTTTAGTTGTCCTTCGAGTACAGCTTGACCCTCACCCAGTAAGCCAGAAGCAGGAAATTCCTTCGATACCAAAATCGCCGCGATATTGATCACCCTCATACCCAGCGTAAAGATTTCAGGCTTCGAAGCCCAGCCCAGAAGTCCGTCTTTGCCAGCATCATCGGAGGTTATCTTGACCAGATAGTCCAGTCCGCCAGATACCCATGTATGCAGTTTCTTCACAGTAGCCTCCTCGTATGACGCCTCGTTAAGGTATAAGAGTTTCTTGGGCCAGGCATTGACTTCGCGGACTTCGTCAATGAACAGGTTTTGCTTCTCCTCCACGAACAATACTGTACTCTCCTTTCTATACTCGGAAATAGTATCAGAAACAGGAACGAGCTTGGTTTTGTCAATGGATCCGCCAATCCGGGGTTCTTGGCCAGTGCTGTAGCGAATGATCTTTTGACAGAGAAGCTTGGAATCGGTGTAGTTGCGTGCGATGAACTCCGCAAGCAGATTAGCGGCGTTCAAAGGAGATAGAGCGACGGCCTTCGAAAGAGACACGGAAGAGTACGAAAGAACCCACGATGCTGTCGATGTAGCGATATCGCGGAGTTCTTCGTCGTCATCGTTCAACATATCATATAAAACGAGATAGGCGTCCAGAAAGACGTGATCGACTCGAGGAGGACTGCCAAGCGGACGCAAAACACGTGCAAATGTGTTTAGAGATGCCACCGCTGCGTGTCTGGTCGTAAATTCCTGTTGCTTGTTAGTGCCTGTTGGCAATAATGCAAAATTCAAGTCAAACGTACCGTTTCCTGCTGCATGGCGAACCGAAGCTTCGTCGCCCACTTGCGGAGATCGAACTCATAAGCCGATAGCGATTGCCCCTGGCTCGAATTGATCCTTGCCGCAAGAAGGCTGCCCTGAAGGCGTAACTCTGCGTCGGCCAGATCCCTACTCCGTGTATGTGCCTCCGCGTCGGAGTCCAATTGTTTGCCCAATGTCTCCCACGGCAAATCAACACCCTTGATATTGTCATGACGGAAGTCGAGCAGGACCTCCAGAATGGATGCCAGGTTCAGGATTGCTTCTCCCTTGACCTCCTCTGAATAGTCTCCTAGGATAACAGATGCGTAGAGATTAAGGAGTGTGCTTCTGTATTGCTCCTTTTCGCCAAAGACTTGATGCGTTTTCTCCAACAGCCATCGGCCAGCGTTTGAATCAAAGGCAGAAATGCCCTGGAGTAGGGACGTCAGTTCCTCGACTCTGCTGGAAGCGAAAAGTCTGAGGAATTCAGCCCACGAGAAGACCCTGCGAAGCAGAGACGAAGCACGGGTGACATTAAGTGCTTTCCAGGAGGGATGAGATGAATCGAACACATAGTTCAGAACGCCGTGGAAATCGTAGACGTTGAAGATTTCATCCAAGAAGGGCGCAATTTTGCCTGTGAGAATTTAGCCACAAAGTTCATTCAGTCGAGAGAAAGGATGGCTCATACCTTCGACTCCCACCTCAACACTCTTTTCGGAAATGTCTGTCAACACCTCCACGAAGGCCGTAGCGACGAACGGCGATCGGGCCAGAGGGAACGATGCAGCGAATACGTCTCTTACAATGGAAGTCACATCGTCCGTTTGTGCTACGCTCGTTAGAAAAGGATTTTCGTGAAGAGTGTGTAACGGGTGCAACATACTCTTCCAGTCCAAGTGAGACGACGATGTGAGTCTCCGCAAGGCAAATCTGACGCACAGTGCCTTCCCGTGAACGAAGTTCTGCGTTTTAACATCTTGGTCAATCTCGAGAAGCGCTCTAATTTCGCCCAGGATATCAGAGCGATTCAAGAGGGACGCATAGACACGGGCCGCGTGCTCCCTAATACCCCAAACAGGACTTTTGAGCTGCTCGCGGACCAGCTGGCGCAGCATCATCTCATCAGGGCCAGCGTAAGTAGGGACCTTTTCACCAATTAGTTCAAGGGCAGGGAAGACTCTTTCTGTGACAACAGCGTTTTCTTCGCCGTCCTGGGTTGCACCTGACGATGCCAAGAGGCTCGACAGAAGTTGAGTCAATCCGGGGTATTTCTGGAATGAGATACGAGCTCCGGGTTCCGATCCAGAGGTCCCACCGAATCCTAGATTGGATCCGGTAATAAGTCGACACATTCGTGTCAGCAGGGCACGGAAGAGCATCAGCCCAGAGTTACGGAGAGCCCAACTAAATTCAGGTTAGCTTGTAGAGGGCAAAATCGTATTTCCAACACTCACATTGGTGACCCCAGCCGCTCAGCCGACATATTGAGAGCGGACATGATGAATGGTACCGTATGCGGACCGAGTTTGGTGTTGGTGAAGATATCCTTCAAGCAATTCATCGCATGGACCTGAGGTAGCGCCATTTCTTGACTGCCCGTGTCGTGTTTGGCAGGTAAGCGAGATATCTCATGAAGGTCACCGATAACATGCTTGAATAGCGGTCCACCGGGCTTGGAGGTGAGAATTCCGGTAACCAGCGCAGGAAGACCGGCTGAGCGACGTGTAAGCTTCGATGCCGTTTCGAAAATGATTTTGTTTGCTTCCTTTATCGATTATCAGTGGGCTATCTTCTTGATCACAAGATGTATTTTCTTACCCGGTACCACGCATCAGGTAGCGAGGAAATAGCTGGGTCTTTCGACTGACCACAGCGTTGACAGCAAGTGGCAAACGTCTGGGACACGGTCGAGAATGCACCTCTATGGCGAAGTTCGGCAAGCTGAGTGAAGCTGGCGCTTCCTATCTTCTCGTAATCAGCTCTCTTGAGCCCTTGCTCCCCCTGGGGTCCATAACTGGAGTTTGAAAGAGTTGCGTAGAGTAGAAGGCTACAATAGTCAGCAAAGGAATTCACAGATATAAGAGTTCATACGTACCTTGACTCTCGTAGAGCACGCCAGGAGTAGGATAGAATATCCTTCGGTCCAACCGACAAGTCTTCAGTCGGTTCGTCTATATGTCCCTCAGGAGAGTCAATGCAGAGTACGGGTTTAACCTCATTCCAAATCCTGTCACAGAGTGATACTACTCTTGCATGAACAGAATCCCACCCCTGATAGTTCGTTCCTGACTGATCCGAGATCAGGGAGTAGAAGTTGGGAGTCAAAACGATGTACCTGAGTCCAGAGACATAGCCATGGAGAGGCGCATCACGCATCGATGAATTAAAGAGACCCCCTGCAGTTGAGAGTTTTTCTTCCAATTTCTTTAGGATGATGTCTGCAACTCCAGCCTTGGTCTCCCACCAGATCGATTCAGATGTGGCGGTACCTGGAGCCGCCGCGCAGAAAAGCAAATGATACAACCTGGCGACAGTGTCTGCATGATCAGCTCTGCTGGTATTGCTTGCTAGCCTCTCAGCTCGTTCCAGAGCTGTTGTGAGTTGAAGCACCGTATCCACTGGTTCGTCTGACTGACGTAGACCACCCAGAAGAACGTCCCGAGGAAACAGGTTTATAAGAGTAAGCGCCGTTGCTCTCACTTCCTCGAATGGATCAAGCAGGAGGTCGACTAATAATCTGAGGAGATTGACGTCGAATATATCCATGTTGAACTTCCACTTGATCTCATTTCCGTCCGTCTTGTGTGGAGGAGCACCATAAACTCGGGGGTCCAGACCAGCCTCTAGGATAAGTTTCAATGCTTTTAGCGAAGTAATATGACGAGGGTATGAAGCCGTAGGCTGCAAGTCAGACTTCAAGAAATTGATGTAAGCTGTCACGCATTCCCGGGTCTCGGAATCGCTTGTTGCAAATGTTGGCTGCTTCTTCTGCGTTGCGGATGGCGTGCCATCGGTCTGTTCCTCTTGATCTCTTATGATACCACCCTTAAGACGGAGGATTAGCCTACGCGTCAAGCTGAGAATTTCCCCTCGCAAATATGGGTCAGGATCAGCGTGCATTGCAGGTAGGCCCTTGAGAAGAGACCGCATCGCAGCCGAAGTAACCGGCTTGGTTATAGTTGGGGCTGTGATTAGCAGGGAAAGGGCTGCTATTCTGATACTGGGTTCGCGATGAAGGAGACATTGACCAATTACTTCACTCTTCACAACGAGGGGTTGGTCTTTGGGTTGCTTGGATGAAGCAGCCTTGGAGAAATATCCTAATAAAGGTAAGCCAGCGGCTCAGAAGACTAATGGGGAGGGGGGTAAACTTACTATCTTCATGAACGAGCCCGATTTTCTTCGCCCCTTGCAATGCTGTAAAGAGAAGCATGAACTCTTCGGAAGAGCCATCGGTCATGTCGCCAGCGACAAGGCTCTTGTATGGCAGATTGTCCATGAAGCAACGGAACCCATTAGAGTCAATGCTAGACAAAGGATATAGAATCTGATTCGACATGAACTCTAGGCCATCCAAGTTCTCCAGCATAACGTGCTTGACTGGAGGAACCCAGGATGACATCAGGTCTTGCGTCTCCTCTGGAGAGAAGTACCTTGTGTCTGGGACTGCTTTTAGTTTCTGGAAAAGCGCTGCAAGCGTGGCTCCGGCAGACGAAGCAAAATCTGCATTTTTCGCTTGTGACAGGAAGCCCAGAACAAAGATCTTAGCTGCCGTAGCTCTGGACCAGAAGTCATTCGAGCTCTGGCTTATGAAACGAGGAATATCTATCGATAGGGCTTTGCAATCATCTTGGAGAACTAGCGTCCATCTTTCATGATTCTTCAGAAGCCAATCTTGAACTCTGCAGATCAGTTCAGCCGGCGTAATGGCATTCTTGCGAATGAAGATCTCCAGGGAGACGAAAGACGGCTTCCGTCGCGAACGAGGCTCGCCAAGTACGATGCTGGGAACTGTCTCATCGACGATCTTGGACAAGATTTGTTCTGAGCCACCCTGACTGCGCTGCTTCGTGAGGACTTTGACCAAAGAAGTCAAGACCTGCTTCATGGGCTTGGGCTTCGTGTCCTCGAATCGGTCCAGGTAGACTTCGAACACGGCAAGCCATGTGTCATGGGAATAGACAAGCTGTCTGGTCTTCTCATGTTGGGATGCAGTGGCAGCATCGAGAAATGCACCCAACGCGTTACACGAAGTCGTCGTATGGTCATGGGAAATAGATGCTGTAGAAAAGGTCTTGAAAAGACTTTGCCATACTCGGTTCACCTTCCTTTACAAACATGTTAGATCACTATGCTTCATGATTGAAGTGCACCGGAACATACTCAAACTCGTCGCATTCATGCGTAAACCCCACCAAAGGCCCCTTGGCAATCCTCTTCAGGATGGCTTCCGGCACCACATCTATATTCTGCGAAATGGTCTCCATCTCCGGCCATTTTGTGTCGCCGCGGACACCAGCTGATGAGTCAATTTCCATGGCGCTACAGATCCCGCATGCCTCGCGCAGCGCAGAGCCTTGCGATTAAATAAATTCAATTGGAAATTCTTGAGCAGTACTCAGTATCATGGACAGTCTTGTCCCCCGCGATGGATTTTCGAAGAGGGTCTACCCAAACGGGTTAGTGGCGGGGAAACCTTAGTCCGGAGGCGGGCAGTCACGGGACTGAATTTTTTGTTCCCGGGCTTCCTCATATCGTCGTGTCAACCCGAGGCCGCCGCACGCAAGCAGTATTATTCGAGGTGGAACGCTGTCGCTTTCTCCGGATTCCTCTTCTTCCTCCTGTGTTCCTTCTAATTCGATTTCCTTTTGTTCTTCTTCCCACCTCCAATTCCTCCACCATGGCTATCTGGGATTCGTTTAGTGGCCGCAAACAGGCCCAGTCCGACCCTTTCGACCCCTCGACCGCCGCACAGGATGCCACAACTTTCCTCTCAGATGCCGCAATTCCCGACCCTACTCAGCTTCACCCTTTGTCCGGCCTGAACCAAGATGCTCTCGACTACATCAGTCTTGAAGACTCCGCGCTCGACGAACTGCCCGGCTCGCGATCCGTTCTGCCGTCCCGCGGATGGTCGGATGACCTATGTTATGGAACTGGCTCTACCTATCTGGCGGGATTGTCGCTGGGAGGAGTATGGGGTCTTGCTGAAGGATTGAGTCGGACACCGGTAACTGCGCCTCCGAAGATCCGGCTGAACGGTGTTTTGAACTCGGTCACCAGAAGAGGTCCTTTCCTCGGTAACTCTGCGGGTGTGGTGGCTATGGTGTACAACGGTCTCAACTCGGGGATTGGGTATGCTCGGGGGAAGCATGATGCTGCCAACAGCATCATTGCTGGTGGTCTGAGTGGAATGGTTTTCAAGAGTACCCGGGGGCTCAAGCCCATGATGATCTCGGGTGGTATTGTGGCCGGTGTCGCAGGCGGCTGGGCTGTAAGTGCATACGCTCTAGCATTGTGAGATTTTTACCGCTGACAAAACTGCAGATTGTGAGGAAGGCTTTCCTGTAAAACGCTGGCGCGGCCAGCTTGTATTCTAGCACCCAAAACCGAACCGAACCGCCTTGATCTCGAAACGTCAGTGGTCCGGAAATCCATACCCTTTATTCTCTCTCCAGCAAGCGAACCGATGTAACCATTGGTTCTTTGCTTTTGTTCACGCTGTATTAACAACGGTTTCCATTTTTGGCTATCTATCTCGTCTGAATCTCTCTTCTCTCCGGCGCTCAGAGTATCCATTTATCGCATTATCTGTGGATTGGGAGGTAAAAACCGGCATGATAATGGGTTCTTGATGTCTTTTCTCTTTTTTTGTACATATAGAGGTTTCCAGCGTTGGCTTGTGGTGAAAATGTGTCTTATGCCTGAAAAGTACGCTTAATGATACTCGGAGTTAAGTCAAAATGCTTGCAGGTTAGTTTCTTCTGATGATATCGACTTTCAATACCTATGGGAACAGTCCCTAGTCTGCTTCTTCCATTCGAGAACATAACCAAGCAATCTCAGCGCTTGGATCAGCAACGTTTCAAAAGCCATGCGAGGCTCCGAAGTGGCAGCTCATTCCTCGTCCAAGGTAACCCCGTACGCCTTGAAAAGATCTACCACCTTTTGACGGTCTTCATCTACCGAAGTCTTCATACTGCCTTTCCTCCATCTTCAAGTCTCTTGTGGACACCCTTCTCTAAGAGAACCCTGATAACACACACCGGGGACTTACGAGCTGCAGCTTCCATAAGCCCAGGCCGGACGGAGGCCCCATTTTCTAGCAGCAATTCCACGATTCGCGGAATGTGTGTCTAGCTGAAGGGCGAGAAGAGTTGTTAGAATGGTAGCCTATATGAGGTATTGTCTGCTCTTGTACGACGAATTCCGTACGTTGTACATTAGGAATCTAGCGAGGTTTATGCAATTCCATAATACTTAAAATAAATATAACGCTGATGTAGATGTTCCGGGGTCTACGAATTTTCTAATTCAGTAAGAACAACAATGAGTAGACTTCCAGCTACCGAGCATCAATTAAGAATCTAAGAGCTATCAGAGCTATCGGAGAGACTGTAGAGACTTTCTGTTAACACTCTTCTCCTGCCAAACTACGACGCCTTCTTCGAGTCGTGCCTATTTGCCGTCCAAGTTAATCCCATACGCTCTGAAAAGATCAACCATTTCCTGTCGTCCTTTATCCATCACAGTCTTGAGGGCCTTTTTTCTGTCTCCATGGTTCATATGGACACCATTCTCCAACAAGACTCTGACGACGCAGATTGAAGACTAAGCCGTTGCATTTTCCAGAAGATGAGCTTGAGGACGCACAGATACTCCCTTGTCCAGCAGCAAGGCCACAGTGTGCGAGAAGCCGTGCTCGAGAGCTGCCAGTAAAAGCGGAGCCTTTTCGAAACCAGGCTCTCCGTGTTTCGCATTAGGACCTCCATCTATACCCGCACCTTTTTCCAATAGTAATTCAATCGTATCATCATGTCCTCGAAGTGCGGCGTATCCCAATGGGCTGATTTTCTCTCTCCATTCATAACAGTCAATATTCGCTCCTTTCTCCAGAATGAATGGTATCACTTGAGTCCTTCCGTAATGCGCAGCTGCGAATAATGCATAGTTCCAGACACCCACTTGTGTACTCAGAGCAGTATGAGCGATCGGACTGTCTATAATAACCACGAAGTTCTGCTGGTGAGCCAAGGCTTTCTTCTCACCAACGTAAGCAGTCTCTTCGTCATCTTCACTGCGGGGTACGCAGCCAAGTTCCTATTTAACACCCTTGCTAAGAAGGAACTGGGCAATCTCCACATAGCCCCTGCGTCCGGCATTCGCCAAAGTGTCTCCAAACACATCACTCCCACTCTCCGCGTTGATGCATTCCTTTTCAACAAGATGTTTGACAAGTGAAAGGTTCCCCAGGATTGCAGCTGCTGAGAGAAGATGTTCTGGCGCGTCGATGGCTTGGTCGCTCGAATCCTTCATGAAAAGCTTTACCTCGGAGCCTGGGGAGAGCTCATAGGCGTTACGTATAACTGCTGCACGCGCGAGGGTTAGGGAGATATCTTCCTGCTGCCGCTGTCTCTGCTCCTTCCGTTGCTTCTCGTTATCATTTCCTTCGGCCGGGTTGAGATCGAGATTGATATATTCCATTATTCGGTCAGTAACATGTCGTATAGTGCGGGTGAAATAGTTTCCATCTCCTGGATCTTGAGCAAGCGCCTTTACTTGGAGGTAGTAAGCAGCAAAGGGCATGTATTCAGTTCCCGGAACATGGTCCGTGGAGCATACGGCGACGATAACCTCCCGGGAAAGAAACTCTGTTCATATTAGTATCCTTTTCTCGATATTTTAGATTGATCTTACTATTGACGCGTTGGAGCTCGATCAATCCACGATAGTCAAGGGCTCGAACAACTTCTTCGAGAATCGCACGGAATATCTCGAGGGGCAGTTCAAGGAGACCCATCTTGGATAGATGTACAATGAAGGATGAAAATAGACCTAGAAAGCAGTGTTGACTGACATTGAATGTATCATCAGCCACAAACGAGTTGAGAGAGAAGTGTGAGCGGTTGACTGTTGTGCAAATGTAGTTTACTGAGCCAGGCCATGCTGCATTTCTAGGCCGCAATTCTGATATTCACTGCTCTGTCACCTGACCACCTGCGTCAACAACTCGTAAATGGAGGACCCAACTCTGATCCCGAGGTGCCGATATTTTTTGCAGCTTATGACTATGGTTTCCCGAGCATTGTGGCCTTGCTGTTAGACGAAGGTGCCTCCATGCCTCCCGCCATACAGCAGCCGAGGGTTTTGCTTTGGGCAGTGAACTACAACTACCCAACCGATGTAATGAGGGTCTTCTTGGAAAAGGGCGTCCATAAGAGATATGAAGATGGAGGACAGAAGGCTCTTCAGGCTGCGGTGGATAAGGGACGGCAGGACGTGGTGGCTTTGTTCCAGGACCACGGTAGTACTTTGGATGGAGAATGATGTACCTTGTATACTATCTGATGCGTTCTTCTCCTTCTCCTGCTTCTTCTCGTTATCAGTTATGGAGCTGAGAGTCAGGAATAAGACTATTCTCTAACGAAAGGACAACGGATTGAAACAGACTACTACCTAGTCGAGAACTGCTCGCTTGCAATTTGAATTCGAAAGAGTTGAGGTTGTCTCTTCATCCAGGGTAGCCCCATACTCCATCATAAGAGCTGCTATATCCTGCCGTCCCACCTTCATAGCAACATCCAAAGCTTGCGTTCCTTCACCAATTTGTTTCTTTTGAAGACCCCTTTCCAAGAACATTGTGAAGATCTCAATTGAAATTGGGATCCTCCACATCATAGAAGCCAAGTAATTTTGGCAACTAGGAGACGTCAAGGCGCCTTCATTCAACAACAATCCCGCAATGCGAGGAAAACCATATGCAGCTGCCATAAAAAGCGGGATATTCAGAGTGGAATCTTTAGTCTTTGTGCCCCTGCTTAATAGCAATTGAACGGTGTCAATATAGCCTCGAGCAAAGTTCTGGGCTCGGGCTCTTCAACTGTGTCAAAGAGGATGACATGGATACAGTCTTATCCAAAAACGTCATGCTCATCTCACTCCAGGGCACTGCGATTTCCCATATTCACCGCCACCGGGAGAATATACTCTCGCCCATCGCTGGCCTGGTAATATCCGTATGGATTGGTGGGCTTCCATGATCCTTTCTCTTTCAGCACCGGACCCAAGCACCCATGGAGGTTAATCTCTGCTGCTTGGAAAACGGCCAGGGATATTTGCTTCAATCTCTCCTGTCTGCCCGGATCTAAGTGATTCATGATTCGATAGGAGACGTCGCCAACAGTGCGAATGAAAATGTTATCCTCCAAAACATCTGGAGCGAAGGCCCGTCTTTGGATGTAATACGCGGCGAAGGGCTTGAAACGTTCATTTTCACTATCGAACTCGATCTTGGTACACACCCAGTCAACGGTTTCTCAAAGGAAAAGCTCTACTATGCGTCAGCTATATTGTTTGTTTGGAAGCGGTAGGACGAGCTTACTATTGATGATTTCCCGGATATCTCGAGCGGGAGATCCAAGAGGCACATATTGCATCCGGCGTTGGATGTTGGTATCTTATGCTCGACGAATTACGGAAGTGTCTTTCAGTCAGGGAGTTTGACAATAGTTTTAAATATCACGCAGAGATGAAGATGACTCGCTAGGATCCCTGTCGTATAGTACCCGGACTATCTGTAAGCAATTCATTCAACTAACTGCGGGCTGATGTTTGGCGACGCAGCGGTGTACAGTCAATTGAGCTTTCAAGCCTCACTGGGATTCATCTAGGCCAAATCCCAGTCCGCCTATCAATGAGCCGGAAGACACGACAAATGAGTCAAACAATACATAAATCAAGCAATCAGGATTAATTAACGTGTCATTTGGGGTCCTTCTAAGATACTCTCTTTGAACGAATACGGAAGGTGAATCTGTATCCATACAGAATACTTACATGTATGCTGATTTTCCCAGGTGATATATACACTGGGGGCACCTTTCCCAATCCAGGCTTGCCAGCTTACCAATGCTGCCGCCCCATTTTACATTGAGCGAACCTGACCAAAGCCACTAACAAGAATCCGAGTATGTCATGTGATGAGTCTTTACGACTCTTATGATCCCTCAACACCTCTGACAATTGACCCTCTACCTTTGCTGTATTCGTGAAAACAGCACATCGATCGACCGTTAAAGAACTCAACTCAGCATACAAGATGCACCTCCTAAACGTACCGCTGGAGATATTCCGTGATATCATCAAGCAGCTCGTCGGCTGCTGTGGTCGCACTGACCTGGGGTGACCCAAATTAATAAACAGTAAGACATATCTGATTCCCACATCCATTGGCCCAGAAGCGAAATACTAACATGAACCAGGGCTCTTTGCTTACGAAACTATCAATGCAATGTGCTCTAAATACAACTCTGAGTTCAGCCACATTGATGAACGGATGGATTTTGCCCCGTATTATGTTCAACGAAGAGCGCTTGCTCCAGACTCATCAGAGGATAACTTAATCATCCGCAGCATGCGAGACAGATCCTACAAGATGGTGGACTATCTAAATCCCACTGGGAAAGATAGCCATAAAAAGCTGAGACAGACCACCCTGCCTGTTTTGCGTGCAGCAGTCAGCATTCAGGTTCGTGAAAATATGGGCTGGATTCTGGATGAAAAGACCCGGAAGATAGATCTGAGACTCAGGGGATATACCGGCCAGCCCAGTGATGCACGGGAATATCTTCCAGTGGCTGTGAATGCGGGGGACTCAGCACTGGTTAAGCGTCTTGTGGAAGCCGAAGGTGTTGATGTCAATGCTTGCAGTGTTGTGTTCAAAAGACCTTTGTTCAATGCCGCAAGCCAAGGTCACCTAGAAATTGTGCGGTATCTCCTAGGAGGTGCTCATTTGGATCCTGATATACGATTGGCATATGAGAAAGAGGTCAAAGACAAATACTTCTATGGGTATGAATATGTGGAATATCCATATCCCGATACCCCCCTGGAAGCCGCAGCATTAAGAAGAAACGGGGATATGGTACAGCTGCTACTATCACACTCTGGAACTAATCTCTCAAAAACATCATACAGCTATCTTCACGCAATCGAGCATGCAGCAAGGAGTGGGAACATTGGTCCGTTAAAGTTACTGCACGGGGAAGCTGATTTCAGCGGCATGTCCAAGAATGTTCCTCAAACACTCTAGAACCACAAATTATTGTCCACCGCATATGACGGGAAGAATAAAGCTGTATCCTATGTCCTGGACATGGGAGAAGAGCTGGACAATGTGGTATACTGTGAAGAATATTCCGCCGACACCACCGCCTTAGGATTCGCTGCAATGCGGGGCCACAGCGACACTATCCAATTACTATACTGGATAGAGGTGCAGATACAAACGGGGCCTCTGGAGACTGCGACTCTGAAGAGGCGCCGCTTCTACTAGCGTCAGAGTACGGCTTCCCCCAGACTGTGGCATTGCTATTGGATAAAGGTGCCTCGATGCCTCCCATGGAGACCTATGTTCTGCAACGGGCATCATCTATACGCTCGCCAGTCGATTGCATTAGGGTCTTTTTGAAAAAGGGTCATCATAAGAGAAGTCAAGATGGGGGAAAGGCAGCTCTGAGGGCCCCAGTGAGAAGAGGGCGACAGGGGGTCGTGGCCCCTTTTAAGACATTCGGGATTACATTGGATGAGTGATATGTCGCAATCCGCACCTTCAAAGATAGTATGTAGAGATTGAGCCAGAAATAAATTGCTTTTCTGAACCATTCATATCATGCAACAAAAAGAAAAAAGAAAAAAAACCCTTTTTATCATCCCATAAACCAAAATAGCACATAACATAAGAATTACAATTCATAACCCTACTTTTTACTCCACAGCGTCCGTAATACACCCGTGGCTAGCATCCTTGACGGTTCTGTACGTGTCCAGTTAGCATCCCACCCACATATATCCATAAACCCAGGTCCAGGGAAAAAAAAAAAAAAAACATACCTAGCATACTTCCCCAGCGTCCCCCTCATCGTCAACCCCGTCGGCGGCAACTCACCAGCCGCCTTCTTCACCTCCCACTCTTTACGTCTCTCCACAAGCACCGGCTCCTCAACATCGAGGTCCAGAATGCGCCTCTCAGCGTCGATCGTGATCACGTCGCCGTCCTCGACGAGACCGATGGGCCCGCCGACCGCGGCTTCGGGGACGATGTGGCCGATCAGGAAACCGTGCGAACCGCCGGAGAAACGGCCGTCGGTGATGAGCGCACAGGCGTCGCCGAGGCCGGCGCCCATGAGGGCGGAGGAGGGCTTGAGCATTTCTATTCGTTATTAGTATCTTATAGTGAGGGAGTTGGGGATGAGGGGGGGAATACCAGGCATGCCAGGACCACCCTTGGGTCCGGTGTAGCGGATGACAACGACAGTCTTCTCATCCTTCTTAATCTCATTGCGCTCCAGCGCAGCAATGAACTCATCCTCCTCATCGAACACACGAGCCTTACCAGTAAACGAAGTACCCTCCTTACCAGTAATCTTACCAACACTACCACCCGGCGCCAATGAACCACGCAGAATCTGAATGTGACCAGTCTCCTTAATCGGGTTCGACATGGGCCGGATGATCTTCTGGTCCTCGGGGAAGTCGGGCACCTTCTCGAGGTTCTTGGCCAGCGTGTCACCGGTAACGGTCATGCCGGAGCCGTCGATGACACCCTCCTTGAGCAGGAACTTGAGCAGCGAGGGCGTACCGCCGATGTTGTGCAGGTCGGCCATGACGTACTTGCCTGAGGGCTTGAGGTCGGCCAGGAAGGGGGTGCGGTCGGAGACGGTCTGGAAGTCTTCGATGTCGAGCTTGACGCCGACGGAGTCGGCGATGGCGAGGAGATGCAGAACAGCGTTGGTCGAACCACCGGTGATGTTGACAACGATCATGGCGTTCTCGAAGGCCTGGCGGGTAAGGATATCCGAGGGACGGATGTCCTCGACCAGCAGCTTCTTGATGGCTTCACCAGCAGCCAGACACTCGAGGTCCTTGGCGGGGGATTCAGCCGGGTTCGACGACGAACCAGGCAAAGTCATACCCATAACCTCAATAGCAGTAGCCATAGTGTTGGCAGTGTACATACCACCACAAGCACCACCACCAGGGCAAGCATTCCGAATAATATCAAACCGCTGCGGCTCGGTAATATCGCCCGTCAAAAACTGCCCATACGCCTGGAACGCAGAGACGATATCAATATCCGCATTCCCCTGCATAGCCGCACAACCAGGCTTAATTGTGCCTCCATAAACCATCAAACTCGGCCGATTCATCCGTCCCATCGCCATAAGCACACCAGGCATATTCTTATCACAACCGGGAATGCTAATGTTCGCATCATACCACTGACCGCCCATAACCGTCTCAATCGAGTCCGCAATCAAATCCCGACTCTGCAACGAGTACCGCATACCCTTGGTCCCCATACTAATCGCATCACTCACACCAACCGTGTTGAACTGGAACCCCACCAGCCCGGCCTTCTGCACACCGTCCCGCACCCGGTTGTTCAGGTCCAGCAGGTGCATGTTGCACGGGTTACCGTTGTACCAGACGGACGAGATTCCGACTTGTGCTTTGTTCATGTCTGCTTCGTTCAGGCCGGTGGCGTACAGCATGGCCTGCGATGCACCCTGCGAGATGGGCTGAGTGACATTGCGGGAGACTCTGTTGATGGCGGAGTCGGTTTCGGCGGGGGGTTTGTTTGCGCGGGGGAGGGAGGTTGAGAGGGAGCGACTGTGTTGACAGTAGATATTAGTAGGTGGTCAATTGTTGGTAGCTGCTGGACCCTGAGGGTAGCGTGACGTACAGAGCAAAAGAAGTCTTGGACAAGCTCCGCAGAGCAGAGGGCAGACGCCCCCGGGGTTGTGAAAGAAACATTTTGCAATTGACACACAGTCAGGAAGTTGTAACTTGACAGAGGAGAAAAACAGAACGACAACACCTCGACTGTCTCTCCGTCTCCAGAAAAAAGCCGTCCGGAGTTGAACCGGAGCTCCGCGGGCAGCAGCGAAGTCGGTGCTGGATCGGGACTAGCGCTGCCGATGCCGGGATTGGCCCAATAGAATGGCTGGGATTGTCAGCGTTTTGTGCCGGGGATGAACCGATTATTCAGCTATACTTGTGCATTTTTCTATTGGGTCGAACAGTTGTACTTGTACTCTGTTGAATGGAGGATTTGCTGGATTTAAGTATGCTAACAGGTCAATTAAACAGCCAACTAGGCAAAGATACTCGTATATGCTATGGGTATAAACAATCTAGCAACAAACTAATTATTATCAAGGATAAGATCATGATCATGCATCGTCTCTCGGAAACCGAATCGTCAAGAAAGAAAGAAAGAAAGAAAAAAAAAAAAAAAAAAAAAAAAAAAAAAAAAGAACAAGATACAACTAATGCAATGGCCATGGTGAATGACCGAATCAGCTCACAGCAAATAGGTGATATGTTCCTGTATGCAAAAGGCATCACATGCAAATTAAGAAGAAAAGAGTCCAGCTCTAAGGCACCTCTTGGTCACCTCGTTTCAACCCACCAGGCATATCGATCGCATCCCGGACCCAGGGAATGGCGGCGATATCATCGAGGTTCTTTCGTCGTGTGTTGCGCTTCAAGAGACCCTCAACACATTTGTGTGCCTCGCCCCAATCCTTGCCCTTTTCGGAGTCCCATTCCTCGTCACTGTCGGCATAGCGGTACCAACCCCACTCGCATCGAGCGATGCGGTGTGGTGTTCGCGCACGGAGTTTGGCGGGGTCACCACGAGTGCCGGGAAGGGCGTCGAAAGGCAGTCGGTTCTCCATCATGGCGTACAAGGACACACCGAGGGCCCACGCGTCGGTTGAACGTCCGTCATAGGCCTGGCCCATAAGGATCTCGGGTGCTGCATAGTCTTCACTGCCACAACGGGTATGGAGAAGCGGGCTTTCGGGGGGTTCGGGGATTCGTCTCGAGAGACCAAGATCGCTCAGGGTGACAACGGCTCGATCATAGGTGCGCCAGTCGATTGGCTTATGCATGGCGGCCGATGGGATGGTCACGAGCACGTCTGATATTAGTCAGCGACACAATTCCTGAATTCTGGTCGAAAAAAAGGGAACTAACTTTCTAGTTTGATATCTCGATGGACGATAAAGTTCTGATGGAGGTAGCGCACTGCAGCCACCAATTCCGCAAAGATACGTCTAGTGAGGCTGGACGACATGGGTCGCGAGCTTGACGATGCGATATCGAAAAGGTCTCCTCCAGGACAATAGTCCAAGACCAACAAGGCTCGTTTCTCGTCGCTGCCAAAGGCCTTGAGTTGAACGATGGACGGGTGATTGATGGTTTTCAAGATATCCACTTCCCGTTTCAGGGAGACTTCCAGACGTTCCTCATCCGCACCACCGGCAGGACCATGCTCGATCACTTTGACCGCAACCAATTTCCGCGGCGTCGAAGCTGTATCGACCATGGGAGACAGATCACTGGCGCCATCTGCTTGGTCCAGCTCCATGCGAGCAGCAAGGTTGACCTGGCTGAATGTCCCTTGGCCAAGTTGACATAGCTTGCGGTATTTGCGAGGCTGCCGGCTGCGTATTGATCGCACCGAATAAACCTCTTCCGAATCACCCAGAGAAGCAGAACGGCCAACGACCGGCCCTTGCTGCTCATCGTCAGCACCTCGACTGCTCCGGGGCGGTGTAAGCGGACGAGCAGCAGGAAAAGTAATCCCGCGCTGCACGGCCAGGTATTGTTCGCGATGAAGACCGTTTTTGGTTTTGTCGTCGGTACCGGAAGACGGAGCGATACTATGTGATCCTGACGCGACAATCGGACGTGGTTTAATGGGGATACTGCGTCCTGGGGGCACATAGTCACTCAGACTGCGGTTTCGCGTGTGCCTGGGAGGTGGGACTTCAGGAATACTAGCAGCAGTATCGATAGACCGTTCCCCCCTCTCTCCGCTGGTATATGGTCTCGTACGAGAGCGCGAGCTCGACCGTCCGAAGCGATGAGAGGATTCACTCAATCGCAAACTCAGACTAGAGCCAGGGCGAGAGATGGTCGAGGGCGTACGAGACAGAGGTTGCGCATCGTTTCGAGACGGCCTCCATGGGGTAGCACCAACAATAGGCGAAGGCAAGGGCGTAATATCACCCATAGCCAGCAACTGAGGAGACGACAAAACCGAAGCAGCCGGTGACAAAGAATTAGTACTCGAATTGCGAGCAGCACGCAGTCCACGAAAACTGGGCGTCCGCGGTGGCAGACCACTACTACCGGCGGAGGAGACGCTGTAGGTAACCATAGGATCGGCAGAATTCATGGGACTGGAAGTTGGGGGTACATCGGTCCGGATCTGTAACGAGGGCATATAGTGGTGGGACAGATAGAGAGGTGGTACATTCTCGTTATTTTGCACCCAATCCGTCGTGGCGGGGAAGGCGTGGGCAGAACCGGGTCTGGAGCAGGACGAGGAAGACGACGGGGGCGGCGACATGGCAGACGCCGGAGCCCCGTGGTTCAGCAACGGGACCGGCTGTGCGTGTTCATTATCATGCGGGTGAGATTGGGGGGCATGGGCCGCTATGGTTGCACTGGCCGGATGTAACTCGGACTCGGGAGGGTTGTTGATGTTGTTGGTAGTGCTGTTGGTAGTGATGTTGGTGCTGTTGCCGCTGATATTGCTATCGGAGCTGCAAAGGGACCCAGACCTGACGGTCGGTTTGGGAGAATCGGGATCAATCATCGAATTAGAACAAATATAGACTAATCCGGGGAGGCTGTTTCATAGAATAAGAGGGCCTCTATTGCCTTGTGGTTTCCGGGCGTGGCTGAAAGGTGGAGCCGCCGTTGGCTTGGTGCTGTCACTGCAAACGGCAGACTCTGATAGGAGGAGATGAGTCAGATGAAGGAAGGAATATGGAGAATTGTATGTAAATTCGAGAGAGAAAAAAGTGAAGAAAAGAAAGAAACCAGCAAAGAGGCCCTATTAAAGGAAACGATATCC